AAGACGAGACTACCTCGCCATTACGGCCCGATTAGCTAGTTTTGCTCGTAGGTGATGTCTCTACATTCTGTTTTCGACGGACATAGCTTTAGCTTTGCGATCTACCAAACCATACTTTCGTTAGGCTGTCTCATAAAGTATGTTTATCTAGCTACCTTACTTGCTGCCATAACACGACCATGCCTCGGAAACCCGGATAAGTGGCAAACGACTCCGAGCGACTAGAACACTTAAAATAGGCACTTTCAATCTCAACATGGACCAAATGTGCGAATAATTTCTGCGATTGTTTTTGCCGTTACTGTTTGTTTGTGGTCGTCTAAAAATCGTCGTGATACGTTCGTATTTTATATACATCGTTGTTTGGTGAATTCAAGAAAGTATATAAGCAAACACAGAAGAAAGGACATTTCGAGCCAGAGTAATCGTTGTCGTACAGTCATTAGTTTATCTTCAGTATGTTAGAGAACCTTAAACGGGCAAACTTCTCAATATCTAAGTCATGCTTGAACTTAAACAATTTTCGTAACGCAATAGTGTACACAGGTGTTTGTACCGCTTCTATCTGATAGCATTTCTACCGGCTTAGAATACGCAGATACATAAACGACTATATTGTGTTGTCGATTAATATTTTACCGTGCTTCAATATACATGGTATAAAGAGTCATTGTGGGCCGTCTCTGGCTGAACATTGTGATCGATGAAACAGACGCAATCAAATATATATAAACTGCGTAGACAATCCTGTTTTTCGTTAATATTCGTATATATTCGAAAGTGAAAAACATACCTATATTTATAGGTATAAACATATTCTAGACACGTAAGGGCCTTTCTGAATTTCCCATAGTCTATCTAGAAACAAATTCGGTCTTAGTGGAAAATATAATAGGCGCCGTCGGCCCGTCGCGACAGTGGCCTCGTGCACGATCAACGCAAAACCACGTAAATCTACTACGAACTGTAGCGTTGCTACGTTTGCGTGCGTTTCTGTTAACATTGTTTCTTGCTTCATGACCTGCTAGTGAACACCTTCCAGTAAACAATGCAAGCGAGTTCGTTGCTTTCTAGAAACTAAGCAGACTTCTATTGCACTGCATGCTCACACTACAGTTAACAAAACGTCAGGGGGCAAAGGCGACATTGTAGCCTTTGAAACGTCGCACGTTAGTAGCCCTGCTAGTGCATTTGTCAAATATTATGGCCACGAAAATCACCGGGCGGAGGTGCAAATTAAGCTGTGCAAACAACGCACAAAATAAATTGTTCTTTTCTGCGTAGTATACGCATGTCAGCGCCGTCGTGGGCCCGCTTTTACGACCGCTCATGTACAAACTGACTGAAGCAGTTTGGGTGCTGGACTATCAGTGGGGTAACGATGTGTATAGCAGCGATGTCAGACAGAACCTAATGTGCAGAGTGCATTCGAAGTTGCAGAGCGGATTTCATACGATCGCTTGGATGGCCTTTGCTGCGTCATCGCAGCTGCAGTACCAGCAGTAGTCATAGTGGCTGTGTATCAGAGAAATTCCCTCTCTCGTCCCGGTTGCAGTGGTAGAAACGACCACTAAGCATCATCATAAACAGGTTAGCCTTCAAAATCACTGAGCAGCTAGGCAATGCGGCCGGTCGTCGTTGTAATATGTTCTCGAGTGGCCGAATATCAGGATAGCAAGCAGGACAAGGGGTCGGCCACGAGCACTCGAAGTTCAAACTCGGAGCAGTGCCGTCCTCAAGTTGATGCCGAATTTTCAAAGAGAGAAAAAAGTAAGATATGAGAAGGAACAGTCCCAGAAGAGTAACAGCAATGAGTCGCCAGATGGGTTGGTGTCTGGCTTCCTCTTTGCTTCGTGCTGGCTGTTTGATCAACGAACTGACCGGCTGGGTAACATAACGAGATACCATCGCTATTTCCCTTTAAGCCCTCTCTACGAGCTACCTTAAAGGTTGTTGCTCGTCACGTCCCCTTCTGTCCTGTCCGCAATCGCTAAAATGAGGTGGCGGCGACGGTGGAATGGTGTGAGGTTTTGATAGTGTGACCAAAGCCCATTGAAGTGCGTCTGTGTGCTTGGCGCGCTAGCCATCTGCCCGTATGTGCACTTCAATGAGTCAGCTTACTCCGGTATGTGCTGCTTACCTAGCAGCAATGAGACTGCAGGAACAGTGGAACTAACACAAGCTCGCTCGGTTTCGGTCGAAGGCGGCTACACAATCAAACCAACCAGCAGGTTCCAGCCACGCTGCCAGGCCACCATCTAGAAAGTCCAAGCGGAGCCTATTTTAGACCGACATGTTCGGCTCCCCCTATGTTCGTCCACCTTATCCATGGCATGATAGGGCCCTACCCCTAGGCACCCCCGTTCGTCCGCCATTGTTCCCTACCTTGCTGTTCTCTTTTTTTTTTCCTAAGTGACAGGCACTCCCTAAAACAAAGAGACAAGTAGCTTATGGTGCGAAGGCACACACAGAAAACCCTCTGCGGTTAGCAGGATCGCCACACCTAAGGGTTTAAAAGACAACGCCGCCGCCGCCGCCGCCGCCGCTCCTGTCCTGAAGACCGCCACAACAACCAACCTGCCAGGCTTCCCTTGCTATGCAAATACGTGCTAGTTGATATTGCTGCCGAAAACCGAGATGGCTTCCTTCGTTCAAGTCAGTGGGCGCCAGTGTCGACGTCGTCGTGTAAAAAGAGCAGGGATCGGGGCGGGTCTAGCAAAGAACAATCTAGGGAAGTTCTCGAATCTAAACGAGGACCAACAGTACAATTAATCCATGCATTTGTGATTTTAACCATGTGCACATGGAAAGGACAGCGAAGTAGTGAGCTGAAGAGAGAGAAAGAGAAAGAGAGAATAAAAAAGATATCGAGAACGGAACAGTGACACAGCGAGATTGAAACGAAGAAAATAGACAGATTGTTTCAGTGTACGGAAAAGCTCCCGGCCGATAGGAGTGCGATATCGTTCCGTTCGTCATTCGAACATGGTGAATGCAGCATAGCAAAGGCATAGGGTGGCTTAAGTGACATTAAGCGTTACCCGGCTGCTGTTAATGCGTCGAAAGTTGAGACGCAGTGGCGCTGTATAAGAGAACGACGGTTTTGTAATCTGGGCCACCAGAGCTTGAAATACTGCCTTAGCGAACAGCAGCAGCAGCAGCAGTAGCAGTGGTAGTAGTAGTAATAGGGACTATTTAGTCTGGGAAGTGGGAGAAAGACGACAGAAAAATTTGTTCGACTGTTGGTAGTCTCCGCTGAATCACTGCAAGGCCATAGGCGATGTCAAAGGAGAGCTCAAATAAATGCTAGCACAGAATGAGTGCCTGTGCCTTCTGTCTGTCGTCACGGCTGCTGCTTCTGCCGCTGATGCAGATATTCGCTTCAAAAAAGTACATAAAATAACGACAAAAGATCACGGGGTGTCGACGGTATTCAGTGCTGATATTCTCACAGACTTCCCGAGGCCGATAATTTATTCCATGCTACAAGCTGGCTTGCCGAACTCAACTGAACTTCATCCCGCCTAACCTGTCCCGGGTTGGCCATTCGCTAAGGTTAGGTCCCTGATATGTCTTTACTACGCGAAGCCTCCACTGACCTTCCTGCCTGCACAAACTAATGACAGCCCGCACGAGTAGCACGTCTTTAATCCAGTTTAGGCCAACCTAACCTTATAAGGCCCATGTGATACACGAGCAGACTTTTCTTATGAGCATCCCGTTTGAAACCCAGTTATATAGCTAAACCAGTTATAGCCTTCAAGAAAATTCTCGTGATTTCTTAGTTTCGTAATTCACATTTAGTTAGTATCGAGCATAAAATACTGATTAAATACACCCAATTTTAGCTCAGAAGTGGACCAAACATAGACTACACTATTTCGTTATAAGGACATAATATCATCTACTCATTGTATATAATACTATCAGCAGGTAGCTTATAACTATCGAAATAACTAAAAGGGTGCCACTTACCGTGTGTATCGATCGGATACCAGAAGGTCTGTAATTGAACCCAAAATGATGAAGACTTGGCTCCTCATATATGTTTGTCTCACGCTACTTGGAAGAGTATTGTTTATTCTTCGATACCGTTAAAGGTTTTTCGGTCTTGTGGCCGTTTTAGATATCTCCTTGTGTCATGTTGGCCCTTTGTGGCGAGCTGGGCATACGCTTTTTTAACCTCCTTGTTTGTTGACATTTGTTGCATGCCCCTTCATTCGTTATTCAATTAAAGGAATTCTATGGCCACATTAGGCCACATAGAAACACATCGGCTCATCGTCCAACGGCGTCTTCGATCGGTGACTTGCTCATTTCCTCGTTTCGTACATAGCAGGTCACTTGTTTGGTAAGCTCATACTACAGAACTGTTTATTTTCTCGTTGGGACAGGCCTTGTTTTCCGCACTCCCGAATTCGACAGGAATCATGTTCCACTCGAAATTTTCCTCAGACGTAAAACAGTCGTAGGAGCAGAAGCCGTTAAAGTGGCAGTAGAAATAACTGTCGAGTATGTTCTAGCTGGTGTCTGTGTGAGCCTCATTTTGTCCATACGCCTCTATACATATGGCACGGATGAAACCCCATCATTCTTCTTTCTCCGTTTTTTTACTCCTTCTGCTTTATGCGTAGACAGGTGAGAAACCGTCGTCACTTTGCCGTAATCGTCGTCGTCGTCGTCAGCGTCATCTGCTCACTTATTCTGGTGACAGTCTGTTTCTTCTTTTCGCAAAGGATTATCGTCGTGAATTTATCACCACAGATGAGCTTTCTTTTTTTTTTTTTGTTAGGTCCACACATTTTAGCCTAACGTTACTGTTGTGCGACCCACTGGCGGCATTCGGCCAACGACGGAGTTTGCGTCTTTTCGTGCGAGCGCAATCCTTTCTGACGCTGACGAAGACTTTCATCGGCGCGAAGGAGCGACAAATTACGCTATTACAGTCGTGACGGATATTGTCACACACGTGTACCCTTCCTTTTCGTTCTATCGTACGTGTTTATATCAACGTTTAATCAAACAATTACCGGCAGCATTCGCAGTCCACAATCATCATCATCATCATCTGTGTCATATACGTTTATTGTTATCATTACTATTCCATATGTATAATAATTGTGATGATATTTATCGGCACTCTTTGTCACCGTCGTCATACGATTTCATTTAACTAATTCTTCATACACGTATCAATCAATTATTACTGGTATCCTTGCTGTTTTGCGGTGGATAAAATTTTCAAAGTCCATTTCACTCTTCCCATTTAGTTATCATCCATCTTTCTAGCTCACTGTCTTTCATTTTTGTTTTTTTTTTTCAAATATAGCTATTCTAGTTTGGCGTCGGTAAAATATCACGATTCCGTAACTTCTGTTTTCTGCGTAATTCGTCAATTATCAGCCATACTTTCATCGTGTTCTATAACTTGCACACGTTTCTCCGTTACGTACGGTAAGTGTCGTGCTTGATTGACAATTGTAATTTTGGTTTCCTTTCCGCGTTTCTCAGCTCCTATTGGTGGTAATTGTATTCGTGTGGTTAGGTTTGTGCAGTGGTTCGTGGTATCAGTTTGTTTCTATCTATTACTGTTATTTATTGTTATCGTCATCATAGTCAATACTATGTGATGATTCCTGTTCATGAATCAACTGTGGTCATGTTTCAGGGTAATTTTTTTTGACCAACGCCTTGCATTAATGGAAACTATGCGTGCTTTTCTTAATTATCTGTTCGTTTCATTGGTTGTTTCTGTTGTCGTTGTGGATCGACTGCTTAGTGAATTAGCTATCTCTTTCAACATTCTAATCATTATCCTCATTCTCGGTGTTTCCATTTGGGGGAGTCCTGATCCTCTCGCAAGTATGTACCCCCCTAAAGGGCCCTAGTTAGAAACCGCGTTTCACCTTTTAGATACCACGGCCAGTTTTTTTTATCTGCTTTGCTGTCCAGTAAATGAGATGAAATCTAAAATGGCTGGCCAATCCGTCCCGATGGATTCTGCCGGTGTTAGGTAATCGTTGGCATACTATTCACATCATAATCAATACGCGTTACCTTTCCTGCCTCACACTAACTCTTCAATACAATTTGATGCTCATCTCAGGGGGCGAAGAGACCGCTGGCTCTTCGTTGAGATACCAGAACGCTCACCAAATCGATGCAGATCAGGGTGTCTGTGTCCATTGTTAGCATGACGTCCAGCCGATCGTAGACAATGGTGAATCTCCTCGGGTCAGATCTTCCGTCAGCAACGTGCGCAGGTGTTGGTCATCTTTTAAGTAGATGTTGTTAATACTTATTTTTATTATTATTGTTATCATTATTCTTCTTGTAATAAATAAACGACAAGCTGAGAACCGAAAGCATTCATCGTAAGCTTAACCTCGACATTCAAATATGGAGCTTGTTGAGGCAAAAAGACCTGGTCTAGCGGCTTGAAAAGCCAGGAGCGTTTTGTTCTTTGCCTTTCGACTTTATCTTTCCTATAAGCGTAGACAGTTCCAACATTTATCCAGATAGAATAGTCCGACATAAAGATGATTCGAAACGTCCATTCCACCGAATGCTATCGTTACATAATCCTTAGCACACCTAATTTCCTTATACGTTGGAGACTGACGAGCGGTGCTGTGTGAAGACAGAAATATGGCGGTGGATCAGTAGAGGTAGTTGTTATCGTAGTAAGAAAACACTACGATAGCTTCTGCTAGAGCTATGAAGTGGTAGGAATCGCTTAGCTCGGAACGGTCCTCGGTAACGACCGATACTCATTATGCCGATTGAGTTTTGACTGTTGTTGTCTTAGAGATAACAGTTAGAATCGGTAGTATTAAAAATAGTGATAAAAATAATTTGGCATTGTTGTTGTCGTCGCCGCGATCAGAGTCTTGAAGCTGGTTGGTCAAAATTACTGGCGTTTTTGAGGTTATGAGGTACATATATGCATTGATACTGACTGTCGTAAAAAAGTTGTCGATAAATGTAGGTGGTCGGTTAGAGGTCGTCCTGTCTATGATAGCCGCAAGTAATTAAGGTAAGTGCGGCAGGTCGACATCTGTACGCACGCTGACTCGGTCCTGGTTTGAATCCGACACAGCCGTACGTTATGTTTGTCCTTACAGTTAAGTTATGTTTTTCCAATCTTCGTAATGCTGACATTGTCGCAGTTGTGTTTACAATGTAAATAGTAGAAGTCGTGAGGGTAAAAGTGCACCGAGACGTGTGGTCTTAAGAGACGCGGGGGGGCGGGGGGGGGGGGTAATTTCGGTTTGACTGTTTACTTCGCCAGTTTAATATTACCGTTTCGGGCGGCGACGAACCAGATGTACTCACGAAGCATAACACGGTGAAGGTCGTTCGGTCGATGGGCGCGCAACAAAACCAATGGACACCTACAGAGGTGACAGCAATCTTTAGACGGATTCGTAGTTGGGCTGTCTGCCGTTAACATGTCATTCCCCATTGTAGTTGAATTGCTTTTATTCATTTATCTCAGTGTTCCGATCTCTCCTCCATCTTATATATGAATTACTGTTATTTCTAGTTGGGTTTTGCGTTTCGGATTGCTTGCTTTTCCCTCGTCTTTTTTGCGCTTAGCGCCGACAATATTACTTATATTATATCGCCGTATCTTTATAACGCATATACATATATGTATGTGTATATATATAAACATCCGAAATCAACTGTCATTCCGAAAGTGAATCAGAGGGAATGACCATGACATTGTGTTTCTAACGATACAAGGGTACCTCTTCATCATCTATTTTGTTTGGCCTCTTCATGTACACACGTTTCTTCATATATCATCATTCTCCTTCCCCTCAGTGTTTGTAGTAGTACTACGTTGAAGCTCATAACGAGAGGCAGTCGTAGCAATAAGTCGCTAGATAGCTACAACGGAGGATGAAAGGTGAAGCAAAATACTTCTTGTACTTGGCGCTTTACGAAAAGTAGATATTAGGAAAATTTTACATGTTGCTTGCTGCCGTATATTAACAGTATTAGTCGGATTGATGGTTGATTTCGTCCTAAGTTTTGTCATTGGCATTCAAGGTTTTGTTGTTATTATAAGCACAGTTTTGCTGTGATATGGTACTTCTCGACCTTTACTTCCCTCTCTCCCCCTTCCCCTTCTTCTTCCAGGTAAGTTCGCGCGATGCGAGAGTCTGTCAGTTGTTGTTTGCGGAATTTTTCTCTGCCGTCGTCATTGTTAATGCTGTTTACAGGTCGTGCTTGCCAGCAAGGGCGTCTGCTGTTGGTGACGATAACGACCGCTTTTAATAACTGAGGCGCCTTTGGATTCGGAAGCAGGACATTGGCATAAAATTGCCACTGGCAGGTTTCGCGGAGTAAAGTTACTTTCGCTGAAAGTTATACCAGGTCCGCCCGCATATCTGTCAACGGCAGCGTCGATGGGAAAATAATGCTAAATCATGTTAATGTTATTTAGCATTGTTCAAGCTTGAGCTCCGCGACGATGATAACAGCAGGGAATTTATGTACCATAAACCCACTTATGGACGAGTGAAGTATTAGTCTATTATGCATCAAGTATAGACTAAATATAGAATAGATATAAAGTTCGAGCTGAGGGCATCGTCTACGTCGACGATGCCGTACTTCGATGTGCCGTCACACACCGATTTCACTAGTAATTATGAATGGCGCTTCACTTACTGATCTTAATCGTTATCTATTATGAATACGCGCATAAGTCGTCACTCTAGAGTAGGAGCTTCTGCGAAGAAATGTCTAACAACTCTTGGTCATTTGTGGCTGACGTTTTCTCCGTCACGGTCTAATCTCTTTCCCGATTGTTATTTTTGATCATCGTAATAATAAATCGTTGTCATCGTAGCTCTTCTAATTAATGACTTCCATCGTTTCCTTGTTATTTTTTTTGCCGATGTTGTTGTTGTTGTTGTTGCTTCTATTCTATACGTTTTCCATTGTTTGATTTTAGCCTCTGTGCAGTCGCGCATCTTCTATCTGCCTCGATTGATCACCGTCTCTAGATAGGTATTGCGAATTTGAATAATACTTCTAATGCCGATCAGTTCATCATAGAACACCAGTATCTTTCGGTTATTGTAAATATTAAGTAGCAGTAGTAATGGAAGCTTTCTGTGCAGAGCTAACGGCGACGAAGCATTTAGGCTCATGGAGCTGCTAGAAAGTAACGCGCTTAAATATGTATAGCATCTATCTTCTGTATAATAATATGCGTTTGTTATTATATACTGTCCTGAGGTAGTTCTGTCTATCATAATACCATACACGTAAATGACGAGCACGCTAAGAAAGTAATTTCCAAAGAGATTTGGCTCAAATATCTTCCAGTTTCGCCTGTATTTTGGTGCTCTCTTTTTCCCTGTCACGTCACTCCGATGAACGCTAACCGTTGTCCGAATATCGACAGATATACAAATCTATTCATTGTTTCTCTGTGAGACAGTTTCCACCCAAAGAACAGGCAGCTTGCAACGTTGGGCGGAGACTGTGTCTTCAAAGCTTGTTCGTGAAGATGAATTCATCTAATTTTTTCTTTTCTTCATCCGTTGAAGTAGTACTAGTTGGTGCTGAATGCAGTACGTACAATTTGTTGTTTCTCGTTGTGTCTAGCATACGTTCGTTTCGATCTGTTGTTCATCTTGTGGTCTGTTTCTTTGTTGGATGTCGCTACGCGCTAACGGTTCGATACGTAACACGTATTATTGTTGCTCCGTTACACGCTCCGTCAGAATAAGAATGTTGTGGTACGCGGTGCTAACAGCTCTTCAGGTCAAGACAGTAGCAGCCCTTCTCCATATCGACTGACTCACGAGATACGCTATCCTGTTCGATAGCAGTAGCTGCTGTATGCACGAAACTGTGGTAATCAATTCAATTGATTGACCCTTGTTTCTCACTTCTTCGATATCAGAAGGTGGATGGGTCGGTGTATGTGTGTGTGTGTGTGTACGTGCGCGTGCATGAGGACGACTTGGGAACAGAAACGAATCTACACTGCCATATGCCACACTATCTTTTATTGGTCTTGATCAGCAGACGGACCTATGTTTCTGCTTTAGTCTATTTTTCGTATCAATTCGAGTCGTTGCAGAAAAATCAACACTGCTCATAGTGTTTTCTGGCAATGTGTTATTGTTTTTACATGATGTACATTCCAAGTATTACGCACATAAGACGCCTAATCGCTTCGATTACTTTCGTTTCCGTTATACATCTAAAGTTGTTACAGGTAACACGAGAAACGTGTCTCCGCAGCGTTCGTAAATCACTAAAACGTCATTGTGACAATGGCAAGACACGCGTCCACACGTGATGCAATTGGAAAAAAATGCTGTTCTGTATAAGATACACAGTGATACAGATGGACGATGGGTGAACGAATCAATCATAAGTAGATGGTCGGCGTAGTAAGATCAGCTACAGGCATAGTCACAGATACGAGACGAGAAATTGCATAGGCACAGGTCAGCCCAACCGATGCAGTTCCACTACTTCGCTCAGTCGGACGTAGTATTTATCTGTAGAAGAAGACTTCACGGAAACTGCCAGCTGTCTGATATGGCTAAGGCAACTCTCAGAAATTACCGTTCGTCAGAAAAACCGGGAGGTAAATTACGAGATGCCACTTATGTGTAAGCCTATATTGTGGCGCCTGCGTTCACAGCGTCGCATCTGAATCCTCTCCTTCTGATTTGATTTTTGCATGTTCCATATTTGGTTTTACAATCAGTCGCTAATTTGATCCACCACTTGATCCGATCATTTCAGCTTTTTCTTTTTTCGCAGCCTCCAATCTCCCGGTTTCTCTCCCTTCTCTCTCACCATCCTGAGCGCTAGTATTGAAGAGGCTATCGAAGACCGATATCCCGAGCTTTAGGAGAGTCTTGAATTTTTCTTGTAATAGTTGAAGCTCGGTCCTTGTTCACTGTCAGCTGATATAATAATAGATTGCTGGCAACTCCTTGAAGAGTGTTCCTTCTCTCGAACTGTCCTTGTCCTTGTTTTGTTTCCCGTCTTTTTTAAATTATCCTTATCGCTCTAAACATTGACACTCTTATCTTCGTCTTCCCCGCCTGGCTGTTCTTTAGAGCATTCACGCATCATGGCCAGGCCTTTCTTTCGATTTTTAGAGAATTTTATATTGGTTAATGCATCCTCGCTCGTTTTTCGATTTCATTAACTTCCTTTTTTCCTCTGAAGATTTTTTTAACGCAGGCCGACAATTGTGGCAGTGTGCGACAGCCAGACAGCGGGTCGTCCTTTCGCAGTGTTCTGGTTTGTTCGGTCACGCGGTGCGGCAGAGTAAGTTCTTGACGCACGTTCCTGATATTAAGATTCGCTCGGCTGACGAGACTAAGGGAAGGGGCAGTACAACACAAAGCACTTGCAGACACACGCAGTTATCTTGATTCCGTACTTCATTTTGTTGTCCTTCATATAGGAAGTAGTAGTAGTTGTTGCAATATTGCCTTATTATTATCAGCTAAAGCTGCTTCTTGTCGGCACATATACATGACACGACGTACGTTTGCAGTGTATAAATATAGATGCGACTTGACACGCAGGGCACAATCGTAATACGTTTAATAGTCATAATGGAAAAACGCTAATTGCAATTACAGGAGAAAAACAACTAGCGGCAAATGGAAGAATAGTTGAGAACAATTTGAAGCCGATCTTTTTGCTTAAATATTTGCCTTTGATTACTAAGCACGTTTACTTCGCTCGTCGCAAATTTTTTTTTTTTTATATTGATTCAATACAATGATCAACAATGCTTTAACAATACGATGAAGACGGCGATATGACACGCTGCTTTCGAACCGTAAACCTGTTGGCGGTATAGAAACTGGAAAATCGTTCTATGCCTTTATATTTGTATGTACAATAGTTTTGTTGCATGTTCTATTGCTCTCATACACGCCAACTAACGTAAAGCGATGCGTACGTTCCCGTTGTTTTGAGAGCATCACGACAAAGGTCGAGTTGGTGATTCTTACACTTTTATCCTCCGTACATTCTCTTAGATAGCCATTTACTTTTCCTCCTTGCTGCTTTATATGGCAAAAATCAACGAGCACTTTTTTTACTTCCGGCTTCAGGATAACGCCTAACGGCGCCATCCATCTTCCCTGTGTTACTCCACGCGCTTCTCCCGTTTCGTAACTATCAGCAATAATAACAGACAAAAAAAACTACCTAATCGTTGTCGTTATCGCCGTCCTGATATTTTTTCTCTCTCGTCGAAGCAAACCAAATCAAGACTTACGCTGTGCGTGTGCCCACTAACAGCTAATGGTCCTCCACGTGTGCGGGTGGACGGTTGTTTCTGAGGGGCTGAACAGAATCTGCTAGTTAAAATGGAATCGCGACTAGTAAGGCACCTGAACGAGCGAGAGTGATCGTATTCGGATGACCTCATTGTGAATGGGCCTTCCGTTGGGAACGGGGCCTCGCTCGCGGGGCGGGCGGTTTCGCGTGGATCGAAGAAGGGTCCGCTTGAGCATCAGTAAGCGACGGTTTAGCGACTCGGATAGCTTAGCCGTACTTCAGACTTCCTGATGGGAAGGTACTGCGAAGCTGGTTCTTGCAGTACCCAGGCCGACCATCCCCGGCGGTGGCGGAGCCTCCCGACAGTGCTGGAGCGGTCGGAACTCGTGTCGTCATGCAGCCGATGATGAATCTTTAGGCTCAGCCGTCATCCTCTTGGCCATATCGGCGATGACTTCGCGGAAAATCATTGAATCGAGGTTTTGGCCGAGCATGTATATCAGGAACCAGTCACCAAGAGAGCCCCGTCGAACCACGGTGTGAAAGTGGTCGTAGTGTACGAGCCGGAACCGCATGTTCAGCAAGTAGACGCGTACCGGCGGACACGCGGTCAATATGACTCGTTGCAAAACTACGAACCCCGTGAGTATCGACAGGATTATAAACCAAAACCAAAGAAAAATATAGATCTTTTCATTTACTATGTTGAGGGGTAATATACAAATGGCGTCGTGGGTCTCTATAGTACCGGAGTGACCGAACTTATAGAACTGGCACTTGGCGACGCGCGGGAAGATTCGAACCATGGGATCGATGCGTTCCTCGTCACCCTGGTCCATAAAGCGGATTACTTCCAGTCCGTACGTGAGGAACTCTCCATCGAAGAATTTGTCCATGAGGAAAATCTGGCCGACAACGTTGGCGAACGCCATAAACTCGCACGTGAAGTATTTCGCTACGTACCAATCGTGCTGGCGTAATGAGTTGACGAGATAGTCGACCAAAAGCTTCTTTTTATGCTTTCTTTCCGTTTCACCGCACATTCCTACATCCAGGTCCATCATTAACGTCTGTATCTTGCCTCCTTCCCATAACTTCCATAGCCAACGAGGAATATAGAAAAGTGTCGCCTGGAAAAACAGCATGAAGCACACCCACTGATAGTACTTGTGGTACTTGTGGTCGCTGGGCGAAGAGTCCGCTGATAACGATCTTGAGCCCACACCGGGATAGACAACTTCCTTATGGTGACCCGAATGCATGAGCGACTTGACCGAGTAGGTCGCGTGGATCCAACAATAGGTATTGATGACGCTCTGAGGGACCTCCGCAGACCGGACGCAGTCGATGGGATCTCCTACATACTGCTTCGTGGTGACTACTATACAGAAAGCAAGCAGGATCACACAGGTCGCGGTGTAGTGCAGTCGGAACACATCGTTGTCGATGTGTACTCGCGATACCTTCAAGAGAGACTTGACCGAACGTATAACATCGAGCATGGCTGACGAATGTTCTGACGCGGCCGGTGGTGGAGCCCGACGAAGCAGCTGGGGCGGCCCACACCGACAAATTCTACCCCGCTTCTGGGACCACCAAAGAGTCTCGCAGCTACTGCGGCCCCACCTATTCCGGAGTTCGTTTAGGGTGTTCTGATCGCTGTCGTTTCCCTCCTCGTCGTGGTGCTTTTTTATCTTGCAGAATAAGCTGCGCTCGTTTCTCCAACTGCTGCACTTATAGCAATGGCAACAATTTGTTTCGTTATTGTTATAGTTATTTCTGTTATTATAGTTGTTGTTGTTGTTGTTTGTATCAGTATTATCGGTTTGACCTCTTCTTTTTGTCTGGTTGCTATGACTCAGCTGGCTTGATTGAATAGACTTTTCAGCTGTATAATTTAATAATAAACTGATACAGCAGACATAAGATGAACGACGACGGCAGAGCCGATAGCGACCCGGTTCCTCCGGGACTGGCGCAGCACTACCACCACCGATCGTTATGGGCGACGATCGGACGTCACTTAGCCGATTTTGCTGTTTCTCTCTATCTTCGTAGTTGATTTCCTGACCACAATAAGAACGAACTTCCCACCGACTTCCTTCCAACCTGTTTTTAGGGCGTGTTTGACGATGTAACAATATCTGATGACCACTTTCGTAACCACTTGTGTAACAATCACCACCACTTGTTATTATTTTGTTGCAATAATTGCTATAATATGAGTAGCGATAATAATTATAATAATAATAATAATAATATTTGTAATAATAACCACTTACGATGTAACTTGACTGACTGATTAACCAGCCTAAATACTGACAACACTTGGTGAGTCGCGTGTTTTCGTCGTGAACGCTTATCAGCGTCACAGATTTCTGTCGTCGCGGGCACTGTAACTGACCATCGCCACCATCAGCACCAATGGTGACGCTGTTGTTTCTGAGCTTTTTCAAATCCGCTTGCACATTCGCGTCTCCACCTACACGGCCTGCTCTCACGACCGGAGCACGGTCCGAAGCCGGGATGCAGCCCCTGCGCCTTCTGTGCTGCTCTTTTGGCTGCCTTTGCCTGTTGTTTCGTTGGGGAAAGCTTCTTTGGACAGGCGCCTGGAGGACGGCTGAGGCCGACCCCCAATCGGCTGGCCGCTTCGCGGCCGAGGGATACAGAGGCGTCCGAAGGCCACCTGGGTCCTTCTGGTGTCGCCTCGAACAGTGCCCTAATACCGACCGCGCGAGTATACGTTCGATGGTTGCCTGAGTAACAGTTCCCGCAGTTTGCCTCGCTGACGAACGTCGGTAATAGTAATCTGTAGTTGATATTGTGGCTGCTGTTTTCGCGGTGACCCCTGCCGAAATAATCGTAGCAGCACTTATCACAGCGGTAATAGCTGATTCGGCTGTTTCTGCTTGTGCTGTTCGGGCTGCAGTAGCAGTACTGTCGTTGCTGCTGCTGCTGCTGCTGCTGATAGACAGTAAAAGTGTTGTTTCTGTTTTTGGTTTGTCGTTGTTTTGTCGTCTCTGTTGTTGATGCTGCTGCTGCTGTTGTCTGTAGCTGTTGAGATTTTGTTGTTCTCCGTTGTCGCTGTTTCGCTTCGTCCTTCTTTGGTTGTAAAAATATCTGTTGGACAATTGGTAATAACTGTCGTTGTTGGGTTGTACTTGCTGAGGGTCGGTGTCTGAGGTAGTTTGAATTGTAGAAATTTGAATGTGACGATGTAGATAGTAATGACAATAACAGTAGTGACCTGTAAAAATTGTAGCATTGCAAACGGAACGCGTCAGCCACCAGCAAATGTTCGACTGGGTGCCGTGTGAACATGACATGTTTCGTCGTGGACACAGCGAGAGCGGAACATACAGTCAAGTCGCTGCTGAGCTGTAACTGTTTGTAGTAGTAACGAAAACGACCGAAGTTCTGATCTCGCGCTCACTGCGGATTGCTTCTGATCCTGTTGTTCTGACTTCGCAAACGTCCTTAACACAGACACAGCTGTTTCTGATTCGGTATTTGTCTTCGTTGTTGTTGTTGTTGTTGTTATTTGCGGTACGTTCTGCGTTGTGATCGTTACTTTCGATCTCGTCGTTGGTTCTAACGAGACTTTTGGTGGAGCTCTGTATATAGCTGTTGTTATTTTCTCGCTACTAGCTGCCTCTATCGTTTGTCTGTTCTTCTTCTTATTACTATTGGTAGTGTCCTCTGCTGTTGCTGTTGCTGTTACCATTGAGATCTGGCGGTGTCCAGAAGTCCGAGTAGTCCTGACGACCCTGGCGAGGTAGCGGACCCAAGATAGCATCGAAGCAGTTCGAGATCGTCACCGGCCTGATCGAGGGTTCTCACTTCATGCCTGTTTCCACTTGCCTCCGCCAAGCTCGGGGTCCGCGTACCTGCTGACGTCTCCTCCTGCACCACCTCAGCCTTGCGCGCAGCCCCCCATAACCTTGCCCTAGCCGGGCGGGCGTCGGTGACCGCTCCATATGACTGTCATCACGTCACTTCGTTGACGAGATCAAGGCTCAAGGTTGTAAGGGGAAATTAATCGTGGCCTAAATACTGCCTCGTCAGTAGCGAACGCTTAATAGACGGGAATACGGGACAAACGGATTAGAATTGCCGCAGCAGTCGCTACAATATAATGAAAAAGTCAACAGCGTGGGCCTCGCGCACCAATCGAAGTCTTATGTAGAATAGGACCAAATAGCACGAGCAGCAACGATGTCAGCAGTTACGTCTCGTCATAGTGGCCTGTGCGACTACCAATGAAGGGCACAATAATGAATTTTTCTGCTCGTGATAACAGCGACTTATTGCGTTGGAAATTATTATCCTGATTTTAGCAGCAGATCTACTGCGATCATTGTACGGCGTTCAGTTTCTGCAATCTCTGCATGTGTTTGTAATAACGCTTTCCTAGATAGTTGTACTCAGTTGGCAGTTTTCGTAGACCCCAATCTATGGCTTCTGTCCCAGAGGGTGCAGTTAATGATAACGTGCTTTTTAATGTTTCGATTTTTTAATAATATTGCCTTTGAGATACATGAAGGTGGTGCTTGTCTTCTGCTTGTAGAATACCAATTGACTAACCGGCTCTAATTAATGGATGGTATTGGTCTGAAGACTGAACTGATCCTGGCTAGCTGATGGTAGACGCCAACGGCATCTATTTTCTTATTGGCTGGGCGTACTGTAAATAGGTGGCAATACAGTAGTAGTATTTTGCCGATAGATACGTATATCTATATAAATGTATAGGTAATTCTCGTTGGCTGGGCTTTTTTCCATTGAGTTTCGTTAGCAGGTGCGATACTAGCAGGCTACAGCTGAGCACACAGAGAACAATTTCACTTCAACCACCAAAGCACTCAGGCTCATCAACGCACGATGGGAAGAACACGCACTCTTGCATACGATTATAGAAGATTGAAGATGAACGTTGTCGTGGGGGTATAATCATAGTAGCACACTCAGCGGTGACCCAGTAAGTAACTTAGACGCGCGTCAACCGATCTCACTAGCGGAGCACTTCGCTTCTTTGTTTGAACTTCTTTCCTGTCCCCGCCGTCGCCGTCGCCGTCGCCGTCGCCGTCACCGCCTGCTGTTTCCGACAGCACCCCACACACGCTAACGCTCACTGACGCCGACGTTCCTGAAAGTGACTAGGATGTCGTTCTAGGTCATCGTCGCCAACATTGACCGATCGTAGTTTGCGTCTCGAACGACGCACTGTTACTACAGCGTCGGAGGAACAAGAAGCCATTGCTTCGGGCCGTGTCGCCGGCGTGAATACTGGCTGATGGAACGATTAGTAGTAGAAGTATTAACGAAAGAGAACTAGTCGGTTGCTGTTTCCGTTTTAATCAGGTATACTCTAATCATCTATTAAACGCATACACGCATCCGAACGTGTGCTCGCCACTCTATGACAATCGTGGCAACACACAACTGCTGTTTTAGCTGCTACGGTCTCTTATTTATTTGCCTGCTTCAATTTACTTATAATGAAGACTGGGAGAAAATATAGAAGACTAAATTTATCTCATAATGTACAATAAGTGAGGCGCGCGCGGTCACCCAGGCACATCAGCACATCCTGCACTCGCACCACTATCACCAGCGCAGCTGCACAACTTCCTTTCTCACACGCACGAACAGTCGCGCTCTCACATGGTCACTCCGCACGATGCGCGCCGCCATCCTATTTAAACTGCTAGTTATTAGTAGCATAGGCTCGAACCCATGTCGACCCTTTCACATTTCTGTGCTGCCTTAACTGAAGAAGGCGAGGGAAGTTGCCCTTTCCGGACCGCGAGAGAAAGAGATCCGGACACCGCGACCGCGATAACTACTACCAAAGCTTCTGGCACCAGCAGAGAGCAGGAACAAGAAAAGGTTGACCTGGCTGGCTAGCCTCTACCAACCTGCCTAACTTGCCTAGCTCAACATTGTGACCTACTGACCGATGAGGAGCCTGCCGGCCTACCAACTGAGCCGTTCAGATATTAGATGCTAGAGTAGTCGCGGGTTTGGCAGGTTCAGGCCCGCGCAACGCAGATCGAAGCAGCGCACAATACAGGAATGAGCCGCACGTCCTAGACTGGCTACAATTTCCTGTAGCGCGCCCAGTAGCTGACACTTATTGTGAACTTGCCACGTTGTTTTTCACGAATTTCGAGGAGTGCCCGCAGTGGGGATCGCTACGAACAACCGAGCCAATGGGGAGCGGGATAGAGAGAAGCAGTGAAGTTTACCACACCTGCTTGGAGCTCACATTTAAAGTCCTGTTTTGTGCGACAATTGCTACTGTGAGGAAAGCATGTGCGGCGAGCGACGTTTAAGCGAGAGTCGTATGAGGCTGTGTCGCCGCGTTCAAGCACAAGCGACGGGGGGATCGAGGTTTTTTGTTGTAGGGATGGGGTTAGGTGTGGTAAATGGCAAAATACAATCGCCGAGATGGGGCCAGGGGTGGTTGAAAGAAATGCGAGCAACAGCAGCAGCGAGAACGGGAATTAATATAGTCCAATACGATGAGTGTTGACAGCTATTCGATACCTGTATTGGTGCAGCTATAGAGACCCAGTCGATAGATGCGCAAACAAGGAAGGCGTGCATTCAGGCCGGAATTAGAAACGATGCCAGCGTTGCCTATGAAGTATGATATGCTTATTGATAGATAATTGTTTGAGGAGTAGATATACATAAACGATAGGAAGACTGATGTAACGAAAAACACAACATTACGGTCCTACACACATTGGTGTCTATAGAGAACTCGGACGAGCATTGAATAACATCGAAAACATGAGCAATTACTGAAAACTGGGTAGGTAAGATATCTGTTCCTTTGCAAAGCAGGCGCCCACTGTTCTAATACGAAGCACGGCCTTCGTGTTAATGGTGCCTACACCTTCGTTACCATGTTACGCCAAATTGTAGTTAGAATCGCTGCCGCTGCTGTTGCCATAAGGTGCGGTCGTAAAGTGTCGGGGAGGAGGACGTAAAAGCGGGTTTATAATGGTTATCAGTTGCGGCACAGCGACGCCGCCTGCTTCGGGTTCGAACGTCGAGCACTGCACTGCACCGGCAGGAACTGTAACTATATCAAGCTGCTGCTCAATTGTCGCTGCTGAGATCAATATTACCGCTCCAAATCAGCTAATGCCAGCATCCGTCGCAGCGGCAGACTATTCAAGCGCGTAACCGACGCCCACTAACCCTCCTGTTAAGGAGGCGAGTGGCGGCTAGACGGTCGGCGCGGCGGCAACGATCGCACCAATTTGCTGCTTAGCTAATAGGACTATGCTACCAACGTTTGCCTTTGCTTTGCTGTTGCTGTAGATGCCTAAGGCTTTTATATTTTTTTAAGGCCTAAGATATTTAATCGACGATTCGGGGCTTCGTGACAACGCTTGTAGACCAATCACTGCTGGAACAGAGGGTTGGCTGGCTAGACATTTGCTATTACCGCATCGGTCGGTCATCTGCCCTGTGCACCGTAAACACTGAAATCTAACCAACAACCGCGAGAATTAGGCGGTTGAGCTTGCGGCAACTCAGCGAGTTGTATACTAACAACACGGGACAGAATACGAAAGCACGATGCAAGAGTAACGAGTCGACAATATGTTCCCTCTTACGCTATATATATATATATATACATATATATATATATATAATAAGGTACTACGCATATTTGCGTACGCGCACACAGTCACACGCAAAAAAAAGCGGCGCCAGCAAAGGAAAACATCGCTTTAGCTCATTATGATGCCATCATAGCCCTTCACTGCGGCCCACCCGCCATCGCAAGCTCTTATGTCATGCAATTTATGCCTATCTTCGTTTTCCTTTCTGTTGTTGTTTGCGGCGCGGAAGAGCAATATAGCGTCAAGGACAGCGCTCTTGACGAAGAGTTCAGCGAACTCCCCTTCGTCTTCAGGTTGCTATACCTTGTTTGGAAACAGCCGACATATTCTGCAGGTTGCAGTATAGTTTATGCCGGTGTCGCCGTTGAGAATTATCTAGACGAGATAGTACGTATACATTTTGTGGCGCCGAGCAGAGCTTGCACGAGAAAAAGTAGAGCTCTTGGTCCTGAGCTGATCAGATGCACAAGGAAAGGCTCATCAAGCTTTCGAGGTAATATCACACATGTACCAGGGCTCAAATGGAAGCCTGGTAGGTTTATATGATCGTAAACGTATGTTCATGTTCTAGGCTTGTGCAAAAGCACTTGGTTGGAACTTTGGTGAATAGAAGGACAGATGAGCATCTTGGGTCTTACACATCGACAGGAGTTTGAAATCGGAACTTGGAAGGAAATGATCCTTTCTTTACTACAGGAAAAAGATACAGAAAGGAAAAGCTAAATGTACAAATGATGCACACTTACATTCGCTTAAGCCGAACACGCAGAAGGACGAAATGTTGAGCAGCAGTTCAACGGCGAAATCGTGGTCAGTATCGCAAACTCGGGCTGACGTTAGCCATGGTGGTCTATATCCTCGGCCGTACATTGCCATCGTACAGAAAAAAGCGTCATATGATAAACAAGAGTACCCCGCTTTAATCGGGCGCGAAGGAAGCGATTGGCGTCATACCAACCACACGTGTTGGCAGTACGAGAAACGCTTGCAACAAGATGGCGCAGTATGCGCCTGTGGGCTGTTTAATGGGCTGAAAGAACTTTCCTTCGCCCGTGTGGTTATTCCTTTGATCGCCTTCATTTGGGGTGTTTAGTCGATCATTTAACTCAGCAGCCGGGGGCAGCGTTCAGTAAAAAAATTGGATGGGAACGATCGAGTTTGGTCCGACGCTTTTCTTTCTAGTGCTACGGCTTTAGTACCTTCCCCTTGAGAGGGCTTAGTATATAAGGAAGTTAATCCCAAAAAAGTCATTCGGCCAGCTTTTATACTAGAATGCTTTGGCGGAAAGCAAGTGACGAATTTGAACTTAAGACAATTATATGGGCAACTCTACCGATACATTATGCGCAAAAATGGCGCATATTTACCATTGTTCATAGTATAGTAAGATGAAAATGTAGAAGTGATGCTGGACATTTAGATTGGTATTGTACCTATGTTTTGCATTTCGTCCCAAGCTGAATCGGTTTATGAGAATTTCGTGACTCGTAGAGATTTCGGGAAGTTGTCAGCGTATATATGTACTTTGTAAAATACAACTGTAAGTCGAGGACATGACTTTTTGAAATCCGCTGTCTGCCTATGCTGTGGTAAAAGACCCAATCTGAATTAGGTCTAACTTGAAAAGTTTTCCGTTTTCTGCATAGACTTTCGAAGCTATGGAGGCTTGTTACTCAGCAACTTCAAACCGCCGCTGTTACCAAATTCGAGCCAATTTTCTTTAAAAGAAAAGACATTCTTTTTGTCAGGTTTAGGTAAATTTGCCACACATAATTGGTTGAACAGATTTAAAAAACACTGAATGAACAAAAGTTAGTGCTCGCAGTGGACGTTAGCGCAAAGGAGTAGTGTTTAAGGCACAGAACTGTCCACGGGCCGTAAAAATAGCCTAAAAATTACAGTAAAATGTTATAAACTCTCAGGTTTTGGCAAAACAAAAATATACGCTTTAAGGTGGCTACAAGGGTTTACTTCAACGTTTCTGTAGTCAGATCAGCACCTCATTGTGATGTAGTTGACCCGTTGCACTTGTTTCTTGTAAAGCTTGTTGAATAAACCCGTTAAAACAAATATTAAATTATTTCGGGCCTATTCGTGACAGGTAAGAATCACTATAATCTGAACCGAAAATGCGATGCAGTTTTGCACCGCAACGAACGCCATCATAACCTTTTACAGACATTCGATTGCATTAACATTACAAACCTTGAACAATATAACGCCTGCCTTGGGCCTAGCGTTTTTAACCATGAAATGTGTAAACAAGGATTCATATGTATAGAAAACAAAGGATAAAAGTTAGCAGCGCTATTCAGTGTTGTGTCGGCCTATTATAGCAAGGAAAATTTCCACTTTAACAGTAACCGATTTATTCGACTTTTCTCGGTGTCCCAACAACATCTTCCAATTCTATTGAAGCCTAACGTCCTTTCGCTGAAACGCAGATGAGCACAGTTTTTCACGACCTCATTTCAAGTGATGAAAGGTAGCTTGTTTGAGGTCAGTTTACATAGCCGTAATTAGGAACCGACTTGGATAAATGAATGCATAAGGAAAAACGTTTGGAAAAGCTGCACTCATTAACAGTATAGCCTGCAAACGGCTTCAACTTGAGTGTCTTTTAAAACAAATAATCTTCTTACGAGTACGCTATTGTGAAGAAATTCCTGACTGTAATTTAGGGACACGTTTGATTCTAAGGGACAAACCCTTAACTAAGCACCGAAATAGACTGAGCAAGTTGGAATTCATTTCCATTAGGGAAACAGTTCACTGCAGACATAAAAGTAAGGTCCAGTTCCCTCGTCGCTGGGACCAGCACGGAAAATATTTGGTTACCTGGAATTAAGAAAAGTTCGATTGTAAATCTCTCGATACCGGAACAGGTTAGAGCAGCTTCTGCCTGTAATAGGTATGTGTGACTGGTAGTACTATATGGCATCGTAACTAAGGTAATCGTCAGCTCATATACAATAGATACGAA